AATTAGGAGAGCATCGCGGTGCCCCCCCGCTCCGTCTCGTATTCACTCCTGCCTCCTGATGTTTAAAAGGGGGCTGGTCGCGGTTGGTTGAGTTCTCGGGGATTGAGAGGGACAGAGGTTGCAGGACAGCAGGTGAAATGAGGTCAAAAGAAGATGGACGATGCTCTGCGCAGACATGGGCAAAGGGCTGTACCCCACCAGTGCATGCGTGCCACTCACGGCATGGTGAAACGCTGGCGCGCAAACACGCCTGATCTCTGTCCGTCTAAAAGCCTTCAGAAATGCAGGCGTTTGTGATGAGCTGAGGGATTGCTTCTGATGGCAGAAATGTAGGCGAGATCTGTCAACCAAGCAAAATCACCGCCTCTATATTCTTGCACCAAAAGAGAAAGAAAAAAAAAAAGGTCTCCTCTGAATACAGAAAGTAATCTGACTTTTCCATGTACCATGCTATGGTTTAAATGGAACAAGTGATACAGAAAATCAGAATAGCCATAACCAACCGGGCTGCTGATTCAGTCTGTTGCTGTGCTAGTGACTAAATCTAATATAGTTGGTCCTGCAACTGAAAATACATCAGACACAGATGTTAAGTAACACAGAAAAACTGTCTGGGTAAGCTACACAACAATGTCATAGCAGGATCAGTTTTAAAGCCCAGGGGATAAATCAGTGTGGGACTGATGCAGAAAACAAAGATGCATATAAAATTGATGGACTTTTGTAAGGAGAAATTGAAAATATCACTGAATTTCCTTAGGGTATTTAAATGTATTTTGTATGTGGAAATGCAAGTAAGATCAACTAAGCGAACAGAGTATACTGAGGGCATATAATCAGTAAAATAAAATAGTTTCAGAATTCATAACTGATTTCTGATAGAAAAAGGTATGGCAAAACTTTATGAGATACTCTGTTTGGAATGGATTTAGGAATGATGCTTTTCCCCCACCAGCTCTGCATTCAGCACTTCGCTATAAGAATGATAGATCCCAGCCTTTTTAAAAGTTTAATAGGAAAATAGTGGTCATGGTTCACAAGAAAGCTTAATACCAAACACAGCTGAGACTGTAGCAAAAAAATGGAAAACACAAGAGAAAATCCTAGGAACTGTTTGCTTGAAGCAAGGGTGTTAGGGATGAGTCACAGGAAACAAAAACTATACCTTGAAGAATGACAAATTGGGCCTCTGTAAAAAAGCAACCCAAAATTACATGCATTTAAACAGCCTTTCTTGTTCTTAACTTAATGTGTCCAATGCGTTGCATCTGACCTGCATTTATGGCTGTAACTGAAGGGAACAGCATCTTAAAACCAATTATAATGCTGCCTGAGTGGTTGATGAGCATCTATTAAAGTGTCACAAGTTTGCATCACAGTACTGCTTTTTACCTTGCTTGTTTGTTTGAGCTCAGCGGGTTAAAAAGACATC